ATAGGACCAGGATGAACTCACTACAGAGTGCCTATGGTGCTGGATCCTGCCCGTGTGCCAGCCCCTGCGGATGGCATGGGGTGCATGATGTCTGTTGCATGAAGGATGGATCTGACATTGCAGGCAGCGCAGGGGTCCAGAGCATGGGCTGCACGTGGTGTCCTGTACTACTTCCCTGTGCTGCCTGTAATGCTGGGTCCAGCACATGTGCCATCAGCAGTGTGAACCCTGCAGGGGGTTGGCCTGAGTGCTGTGCTGGGGGGGCAGTCCTGGCCCTTCCCACACACCAGCTCAAGTACATTCACCTGGTCCATGGGGTCTGATGAGTTTTAAATCCCTGGTTTAAGGGAGGAGTATATGGCCTTATTGCACATTTTGTGCACAAGATGGGTGTTAGACGCAGACAGAGTACCTTTGCCTGGGCAGTAAGGATTGGGAGCTTTAGGTCATATTTAGTAGGGCTGTGTGAAGCTTCAGTCCCTGATTTGATTTGGCGGAGATTTGTCTCGATTTGGTGGCTGAATCTCTGAATCCAAATCGAATCAGAGGTCCCTTTAATCTCTCTGAATTGAATTGGAACCTTCTGAATCAATTTGGAGAGATTCGGAGAGATTCAGCGATTCGAACATAGACACAGCTTTAAATGTTTTTTCTACATACCTCTAGGTAGCAGGGGCTCGTGAATGCTGATGCTGGAATGCATGGCTTGTTCCATAGAAGCATGGGGTGCTCCCCAGCGTGCTCAGCAGCAGGCCTGGAAATGGACCAGAAGCACTTCCAGTCCACTTCCGGGTCTGCCAGGGAGTGGTGCCTCCTGGGTTTGGGGGGGGAGGGGGGCACCCTGCAGCTGATCGCTGAGTCAGAGGCAGGGTATGGGGACCCCTCTGCGTGCTCCCCAGCAGAACCAGAAGTGGACCAGAAGTACTTCCGGTCCACTTCTGGGTTCACCGCAGAGCACATGGGGGGGCTCCCCGAACTCCTGTGGGATGCTGCATGCGCCCCAGCATCGCAGCGATCACGAGCCACGCCTGCTACCTGAAGGCATGTAGAAAAAACTTTTAAAGCTGTCTCAATGTCCAAATCGCTGATTCACTGGATCAGCATTGAATCTTTAGATTTGGATTTGGCTGAATTGAATCAAGGACACTGATTTGAATCAATGAATTGAATTGCTGTCCCTGATTTGGGCCGAATCCGAATTGAACAGGGCCTGCTTTGCACACCCCTAATATTTAGGTGTGGACAGCACAGGTTACTTGTGGGGTTGGGTTGGATTGTTGGTAGGAGTTTGTCTGTTCCCAGGTAGCACCCTCTCTGTTGAGAATAGGAAAGGATTCTTGGCCAGAAGAGAACCCCTTGACTGGGTTCTCTCATGTGTAGGAGAAAATGAGAAATCCTCATCGGAGGTTCCCATTGTCTAGGTGCTGCCCTCTTCCAAAAGAATATAAAAGGGGTGGTGGTACAATGTGCATAAAATATTTCAGAACAAGGATTACTTGAAATTATAAATGCTTTGTGAAACACTCTTTTCTTTTTCTTGAGCTGCACGTAGTTGTTCGTATGTATAGGCTAACTGGGGCCAAAAGGTGGGCAAAAGCAGGATTCTGAGGGGTGTGTGAAGTTGGTGGAGACAGAGCTGAGGATCTCTGTAAATTATACTGGTTTAGATGTCATCTGTCCACAACCATCCCAATGTAGCAGTTTACTGAAAACAAACAGGCTTTTAACCTGCTCCCCATCACCTAGTGGCAAGGCACAGTAACAACTGTCTACTGTGTGAGCTAACATGATAGCTATATGCATACCCATTTTTGATCCCTCTGTAATTTATGTTGACATACAACATAACATTCAGGGAGGTTAGGGGGAGGTTAGATGGAGTAAAAATGGCTACCCAGTCTAAGGTAAGCTGAGATGTGGGGGCTAGTGGGGCGGGGTGTTAGTGGGGACTGGGAAGGTTTGGTGGGATTGATGGGGCAAGCAGGGTTCGCAAAGGGCTTAGAGGGCTTGTGGGGGGTAGTGGGATCTGTGGGGGAGTTGGTAAGTTTTGGGAGGTTTTGGTGTGGTCAGGTGGACTTATGGTGTGAGAGATGGGAGGGCTTCTCCCCCTCCTCAAACCAGGGGTTGTTTTTAGCCCCTGATCCTCCCACCCCCAGGTGAACCATCCCCCCATCCCAGCAAACCTACTCGCATCTATCCCCCTCCTCCCCCCCAGGCTTACTTTGGATTGGCTCCTGGCACTAGCAAATGCCAGTCAAACTGGAACCAGGAGTGGCTTACAGGATAGCGTGTTTGATGGGCTTAAGGAAGGGGGCACTGGCTGTTCTGCGGAGGGGGCGGGATGCTTTCATCTGGGGGAAGGGCCAGGGGGCTTAAATGGCCAAGATGGTAGGAAAACTGCAGCCCTAGGGCTGAGGCCAGCAGTTGGCCTTTCCCAGACCCAAGCCTGTGAAGTTCACTTAGTTTGATCTCACCGACCCTGATCTAAGTTAGACTACCTCTGAGGTACACTTAACTTAGATCAGGTCAGCCATTTTTAGATTGATCTCAACTTCATGAACTCCTGTACAATTCACACTTAGATTCCTAGTTAGGTCAGTCTAAGGATAAGGTCTGCGTCTGGAAAAACTGTGTTAGATCAGGTGGGCATTTTTAATAAGCTCTAACCTTCCCCTATCCTCCCCAAATGTCTGTACCTAGCCTTAGTGCAGCTCTGTGGGTTGGCTAATTTGCAGTGTCACTCAGCAGTGCTAACAACCTGCAGCAAAGGCTTTGCAAAGGCAGTGTGCATGAGATGGCAGCTGGGGTGGGCTGTACATTTACTCTGTAGACATTGCCCAAATGACCAATCAAGGATTGAAGCTGTGGTGCTGTGTGTACAATAATGTAAAAATTGTGTGCAAGGTAAGTCAAAGAATCCAAAAGACTTCCTTACTTTCTGTCTTGGAGACTGATCTAGAAACTGAAGTTAGTGGGAACGTTTTTCTATGGGTGTCAGGAGCAGGATTTAGTCTTACTTTATCAGGTGGATGTCTTCTAGAGGGTAAGTTATCAGTATCACCCAAGTTTAGAACAGTGGAGCTGACACTTATGTGCTGCTTATTGTATTACACAGAAGCTAAAGCTGTCTTCTCCAGAGAACATCCTATTGGTGCTAGCTTCCAATGTATGTTGCTCTCAAAATTAGAAGTGCAGGCCATTAATGATATGTAGATTAGTTTACTGCTTCATTTTAAAAATGGCTGAGAGTCATCCATTTTTTTGACTATATAACTTACTGAATGTTTCCCATCTTATCACAGATTTCTTTAGATTTAAGGAGTATTTTCTGGGTTATGGTCTCATAGTAATTCACTTCAGTGCATTTTAGCCCCATAGGGCACATCCAGACAAATGGGAATGTGCATACCCTGGGGACAGCTAGCAGCAGCAGATATTTGTGCTGCTGTTACTTGTCCCTGGGGAACACCCCTGCATGCGTGCTCTGGCATGTGGAAACTTACCCTGCATAGTTTCATACTTGGTAGTGTCAGAAGAGACCTAAGTGGATCATCAAGTCTGACCCCCTGTCATGGGCAGGAAAGAATGCTGGGGTCCAATGACCTCGGCTAGGTGATTGTCTAGCCTCCTTTTGAAGACCCCCCAGGGTAGGAGCAAGCACCCTTGCTTGCTTCCCTTGGAAGTTGGTTCCAGATCCTTGTTGCCCTGACTGTGAAGTAGTGCCTCCTGATATCTAGCCTCATACCTAATGAGGCTAGATATCATACCTAATGTAGAAAGATAATGAGATGCGGCCATCTTTTCTCTACCTGTCCAGCAGTAGCATGTGGTAGGGGAGGCTGAGGCTAGCACCTGGCTGGTCCAGCAGCCTTACCTGGGGTCCTGGGGGCATGCCAGGGCTCCACCAGCATCGATCTGGGTGTGCAGAGCCTGGCCGGCAGACGGAGCATGGTTCTGGCTGACCAGGCTCTGGTTTCATACTGCCATTGAGTGTGTTGCACTGCTTTTTTCTGGTGCCGGATTTTTTTACACTGGGATCTCCCGCAAATTAACACTGCAAATTAACCTGCATGTATGGTGGGTGGAGTTTGTGGTGTGGCAGATGGGTCTGTGATGCCGCAGATCATACATGTGCTCATTTGGACGCGCCCATGGAAGCTGTCTGCAGTCATTGCCTTAGCACAGTGATTCTCAGCCAGGGTGCCATGGCATTCTGGGGTGCCTTGAGAACTTTACAGGGGTACCATGTAATAACACCACTGTTAGATGTGCAAACCTGATTCACAAGATACATCCAGATATTTTAAATAGGAATCTGTAGAGTTAAAAACATTCTGACTGGTGATTTTTTTTTTTTTTTTTTTTTTTTTAGTTCTTTGCATGAATGTCGCATGCCTTCCAAGGCTGGGGGGGCACGGCAACTGCCCACAGGTGGTGGCAAGCGGGAAGCTCCTGCAGGTGGTTGTGGCGGTGCTGGCAGTGAGGGTGGTGAGGGCTGACCAGCAATCGGTGACCACCTGCAGACACCACTGCCCGCAGACGCCACTGGCAGTGTCAGTGGTGAGGGGGTGTAGGCGGCGACTGGTTACTGCCTGCAGGTGCCATTGGCAGCATCAGCAGTGACCAATCTCAGGGGGTGCACTGCCAATCTCAGGGGGTGCATGTGCACCCCCTATGTGTTGCCAATGGCTCTTCGCAATAGAAAAAAAACTGCTCTTGTATTTTTCTGTAGTTAAAAAAACAAATGAAAACTAAAAGTTGGCATTTTTGAGGGGTGTTTTGGGACTAAAAAGATTGAGAACCAGTGCCTTAGCGGCTGGTGTGAATGCTTCATTTATGTATTTAGAGCTCTGAACAAAGTCTCTCTTTAGAAGATTTTAATTTTTTTGCCCCAAATTCCATTAAGGTATAAGCTTGGTTTGCATTGTACACATGTAGATAGCTAACAGTTATAAAGGGTTAACTGGTAGAACTAAAGTTCCTGTGCTTTTTTGTTTCAGAGGTGTTGTTAAGGTTGATATAAACCTGCAGAAGCTGGACATTGACCAATGTTCAAGTGAAGGGTGGTTTTCAGGAACCCACAAATGCCATCTCAACAATTCTGAGGTAAGAGCATTTAAAAACAGAGCTTAACTTTAATAGTAAATAATCTTACCACTAGAAAATATTTGGTAGTGAGTGTCTTGTTTTCTGTAGTCCTTACATGTGATTTGTCCTGAAAAGATTTCTCTATGCATCAAGATATTATGGTATGTATAAGTACCAGGAGTATTGACTTAAAAATATAAGAAAATTGAACTTTACTATGTAGAGGCATTGGCCTTAGGGACAAAGAAGATTTATCAGTGAAATAAATTATTTATATGAAGTTCTACTACTGAGGCAAACAACAAACATCCCTTTATGCACAGTCTTATAATAGCTTTGTAATGAGAGTCTCTAGCTTTGGGCTGGGGAAAATTTTGGATTATATAATAAAACTGGTTGAAATGCTGATGGTATTCATTCAAAATGACTTGCTTTGGAATATGCATTTGCAGTAATGGGAAAAATTGGATTTTGTGATTTTTTTTTTTCCTTTTGTTTTAAAATTGTAATGCCAACACTTTGACAGAACTGACTAAATGCTTTTATTTGACTCTTTCCTGTACTTCTCCCCTGCTCTCCTCTCTTGCTTCCCAAGGGACACCTATCATTGACTTAATTTATAGCTGCATCACAGATAATCCAAAGTGGCCAGCCAAGGAGCATACACTAAAGCTTTGAAAATGGAATCTGATCATTAGATATGGAAGAGAGGGGGTGGAGGAGGGGAGTTATTATTGATACAGGGAAAGACTGTCAAAGTCACAAAATGGATTTAATTGTCCAATTCCCATTTACTTACTACTGGAACCTCAATCCCACATTATGTCTTAAAAAAACTTGTTAAGAACTATGATAATGTATATAGAAGCTGGCAACTGTCTACTTAGGTGGCATTGTCATCAATAGATCCTGTTGGCGAATTTATTTATTTTTGGTAGTAAAATAATAATTTCTGAAAACCAAAATAATTTTCAGGAAAGGCGTTTTTGATGAGTAGCTCCAAAAAAAATTGAAATATTTTATTTTGACATTTTTGACCAAAATTCTGCTTTTTCAGTTCAAAAGAAATTTCGAAATGAAAAGTCAAGCTAGTCATAGTAAAAATAACTAACAGATTTAAAAGGCTGAAACTGAAAGAAAACCGTATTTGTACTATTATGTCTCAAAGATGTCTGCCTTGTTGCTCTGAATTGGAAAGGGAAATTTATTTTGTCATTAGAAAACTATTTCCATCCAGTTCTTCTCATTTATAGATCTCCCCTTTTAAAAATGTGATGGCCATCCTGAGGTTGACTGTGTTTTTGGCAAATCCTAATTCCCCTGTCTCTACACCATGAACATCAGTTTTGGGGGAGATGGTGATAGTATGTGCTGAATTATATTTATTCCAGCAACAAAGAGGGAAGGAAACATATTGCTGGGGGACCTTAATAGAAAGGCAGTGGGAAAGGGGGTTGGTACTAGTCTTCAACTTGCTGTAGGACACATGCCAATCCATGGAAGTCTTTCTGTTTACTTTAGTTCTGGACCAGGCTTCATATCCTTTACATTTTAGAAAATGAGGTTAAAGTCAAACTAAGCTGGATGTGTTTCCATAATCACAATTTCCAATTTAATTTGAGGTCTAGCAAGAATGTTGTGGAGACTGTCATACAAAATGCTGTTACTGCTGATAAACTGTTAAGGGAAAAAAGGTTATTGTGGATTGCTATTGTCACTGGTGTCAGCAGTTCCTCAATTTGAACATGATCTCCACTATGGCTCATTGCTAGGTGTTCAGAAGACTTAAGAGTTCAATCTTTGAGCCACAGATCTGTCTTCAGAAGTTTCAGGTCTTTCTGCAGGGGAGAATAGGCCATAGGCTGAGATTTCTCTCCTTGTGGGTTTCCATAAAACCAAAAAAAATCCCAAACAAAATGGCTTCTTATTCACACTTGGAAATTTTCATGGAAACATAAGGTAGTTTTTACTAGTGGAAAGTGTCATTTCCCTGAATAAAAACACTCTGGCTATGAAAAAGCGCTTCCTCATGAATATGACATTTAGTAAAATTGCTGTACTTGTGTGCTTTCTATTTTATTGCAATATATGTGGCATGTGATGTGTGACTTGGGAAAATTAAGCGCTGAATTAAATTGGCCTTGAAGGAAAATGTTAAAGGATACAGGGAGTTTCCTTTGATTTGCAAAAATATTTTAATTTCACATTTCTTTTTGTCTGTTAGCATAGGAAGGCTAGGAAGTCTCCCTCTGTGTTGTTTGAAACAGACTGCTGCTGTGAGTTGCTAATGCAATAAAGTGTCTGTTTCGTAGGGTCCCAGCTGAAGTCAGTGGGAGTATGCTTAAGCCTATAATGATTACAAGGATTCTCAGAGGTCTTTGAATTCATCTTTTGCATTGTTGGGGCAAATATCTGTGGGTGTTATTTTGTTTATTTGCTGGCAGAATGACATCTATTTTATGTCAAAGGTCCTGCAGTCTCTGGATTTGTGATTCATATCAGACATATGGTGGTCAGCTGACTTTTTCTTTGCAAAGCTGTTAGATACTCTTGATTTTTTCTGCATTCCTGTTAATTCTATTTGCATCACATTTCCATCTATTTCCATCATGTTTCCTTGAGAATTAATGGAAGCTACAGCATAGTACTTACCTACAGTACCTCTGCTGCTTTTGAGTCCAATGTAATCCATTGCTGTAATGCCAGAACTGACTTGTGATATTTTTAGAGAATCATCTAATGGGAAGCACTTGACTTGCTTGATGATATAATGGATGATTTCTTTTTTATGGTAGAAAGTTAAATGGTTTTGTTTTCATCACTGTATAAGTTTTCATAAATGAATTCCTGTGCTGCAGAAGGGAACTAAAACCTCCATTCCAAGCCAATGGCTCTTCTGCCTGTAGTACAAAATTACAAACAGTCTACACATGCACTTGCATTACTTAACTCACAAAAATAATCCTATTGACGCCGTTGGGATCACCTCCATGAAGGAAGTTGCATATGTGAGCATGAATGCTTGCAGATTGAAGTCATAACCTGTGCCAGGTCCAACTTTAAGTCCTTGAGGCATGTCTCATAAAGCTTTCAGGATGCACTGCTGTTCACCCGTGCTTTGTTGAGAAAAGGGCAGAAAAGAATCCCTGCAGAGTAGTTTATGTGCAGCTCCAGTCCCCGGTGTCCTATACTGCCTCCACATCCTGCTACTGAGCTACAGAAGAACTGTGGGTTGTTAATGCAGTGCTAGGTCAGGAGGAGCTAAGTGTACGGGGGAAAGACACATAGGTGTTCCAAGCTAAAAACGAAACTTCCCATTTTCTTTGAAGTATTGACAGGGCTGGTGGTAGGGGCACACAGAGCTGCTGGAGATGGTCCCCAAATCGCAGGTTTCCCTCTTATCTTGGGTCCTCATTTTAGGAGAGCTTTTCAGCCTGATGGAGGCCCTGCTCTTTTCTTGGCTGATGGCTCACAGCTCCTGTGGAGCTTGAAGTGGTTTCTGGCCCCAAACTTTGTCTTTCTTCTCCGAGTTGGTTGTTCATGCTGATTCTACCATGGGGAGAAGGAGAATGAAGTATCCGCACAACAGTAAATGCATCTTTACATACCCATAACATTTTCCATTTAAAATATCTAAAAAATAATCAGTAATTACATTAACTCTACAACCGCTGTGAGGGAACAGACATCCCTGTTTTTAGAGAAGGAGAAAATGAAGTTTGGAGCATTTTACGACTACTTTGTTTTTCAGGCAAAGTGATTCTATGTCTTAGCAGGGAGAAGAACATATATTTCCTGACTTATGGTTCTGTGCTTGATCTCTTGTTCATGGACATTTCAATGCAGAGTTCTCACTCAAGCCTTTTTGGCTGAGCAAAGCATGCTGTTTTCATTTATGAAAACTTTTCTCCACCCCTGAATGTCTTATTTAGTTCTGAATATTTGTTTTGTGAATATTGATCTGTATTTGCTTCAGATTTTACTGAGTCGTGTTGCGTGGGTGCTGTATCTTGTAATAAAGGCACTGCAACTCAGCAGAGGCACTTTAGAAGATGCACAGTGTGAAACCAGGCTTTTAGGGCATGTGTATACGAGATGTAGTAATGTGCATTAGCCTAATGTAATGCACATTACAGGTGTATGTCTACATGTATGTACCCTTAATATGCATTAAAAATGGTGAAATTAGGCTAATCACACCTAAGTTTGATACCTGCAAATACAGGTATCAGATTTAGGTGTGATTAGTTAAAGTGCTTTAATGCACATATAGATGCGACCCGTCACTAACTTTAGTGCCGGGTCTGCCCAGGCACTAGGGGCACACGGCAGGGCTGCAGGGACTTGGCACTAACTTTAGTGCCAAATCCCTGCATGTGTAGATACCCTCAAAAATTGCTTAATGCGCATTAAATTTAGTTGCGCTTAAGTGCACATGGAGACATGCCCCTTTTGTAGGAAAAGCAGGCTAGAATCTTTGCAAAGCTTCTCCCCTTTGGAGCAGCACAAAGACAGGATTTGAAGTTGGGAAATATCCTTTTGTCTAGGAAGATAGAAGGTTTTAAATTCTTCCATGCTACCCTGTTCTAGATGGGCAGCAGGATGGGCTGGAGGTAAGAAAATGTATCATGCTCCCATGAGCCCATTTCTGGGGTTGTGTGGCAGCCAAATTTCAGCTGGCAGCAAACCAAGAAGAAATCCCTTTGTGTTTTGGCTGAGGAGCCAGTTGAGGAAAACTGTCATCTGTGGAGTAATGACTGAACTCATCTAAATCAGAATGCCCCCTAACCGGAACCATAAGAGAACAACACGAGTGGAGTACAAGAGAGAGAAAGGAAAGAAAGGACACAGGAATAAAACATACAACATTAATTACTATGTAATTTTATTCTTCATGTTGCCACATGCTTTTGGGGCCACTATATAAATAATTAGTGAACTTCTGAAGATGTTACTAAGAACTTTACAGAGAAAAGGTATTTGCAATCTAATAAAAATTAGCAGAAGATTGATGGGAA